CTACACGAACATTTCATCGATCGTTCTATTCACTTACACCCTTATTACTAATCTATAGGGGTTACAAGTAATGATATATGTTTTAAAAATTCTCAATCATTTGATATTTGATAACGAATGTTCAAATATCTTACAGTCTATGGTGTTCGAATTCAATACCTCAAAGAAAAACAATTATTCCTTAAATTATCTTTAATCATTAAAATCACTTAATTCGTATTTAAATAGAATGCACTATTTGCATTTAGCTAACTTTTTGTCCATTAATTTTAATCTCACCATTGCTTGTACTGCGTATTCTAAAATGAGCTTTAAAATATACCCTCCAATTTAAGGGGAAAAAGGAAAGATAAATTAAGTTATTCAAGATTTTCTGTTATTAATCCATATCGTTCTATATGTTGTAACATCACGATGCTATTTAAATTAAAAATTAACTAATAATAACTATTTTTAATATAATATTTAAATTCATGTCTATTCATAAATTGAAAGATTATAAGTATTTAAATGTGTTTGAACTAATATCTTAATGTATGTTAAGTTAAAATTCAATTGTAGAAATAAATTAAATTTGAGATAATCAACTATATGTTAGTCTAACGGAATAATACATTATATACATTGAATAAGATCAAAAATTCAAACATTGACGTTATAAAATAATAAAATTAGATTAAGACGATGGTTCTCTTAATAAGTTTCTATATTACTTGATATGAATTAATTGACAAATATATCATATATCAATAACTACACCAAGGGGAGAGGCTCTTTGTTTTTTCGAGAAGTTTAGATGATGTCCGGCATTGCAAACGAAACTTTGGGCCATTCACGATACTTTAACACACACTTGGAGGCTTGGTTATTATCATGTTGAAATTGAGACAGAATATCTTAAGGCTTTGCGATCTATGGAAGGATCATCGAATATTTTGCCCGAACGACACTTATTGAGGTGATTAGAAGTTTAGAACGATGTTGGAACAAGACTGAAAAATTAGACTTAACTTATCTGAAGAAAAGTAAACTCAGTAGCGAACCACCTTGCTCCATTGTATTGCGGCCTGCCCATGGGAGAGAGAGAGTTCAAAGATCTCCCAACAGAGTTGATTAACCTTGTTCTGTAGGAGGCGACCTACACCAATTATAGCTGCTGCTTCATTTCAGTATCAACAAAAAAATTTAATTTATTAAGATTAGATTTAAAATTTATTAAAAGAAAATATTTAATATAAAAACACATTAATTAATAAGTTTTGAGATTTTAACTATTTGATTAAAATATTATAAAAAAATAATTTTATTTTTTATTGAAAGTCCTGGTAATTTAACATTCAATCCTGTTTTTTCAAACATCGATGATAACAAAGTTATTGGTATGATATTTTTAATTGAGGGGAAGATGCAGTTTTTGAGTCATAAATTTTCAAGGCAGGGGTTAAAAAGGAGAGCCTCAAAGTTTGCAATAATGGCGAGTGAGACATCAAATAGGTGGTGACGGCACCTCCTCCTTGTCTTTCATTTCACCTGTTTCTCAAACTATAAAGGTTTCCATTGACTGCAACACCTACTTTCTCCATTCCAATTATGCCATTGAATACTATCTACTGATCATAAAGTAGATATTTTTAGATAATAAAGTTATTATTCGAATATATACATCGTTCTATTTGGATGGTCAATAAGAAAAATTAACTAACATTATCGATTTCCAATTCTAAAACTATTAGGTGAAAATGACCACATTCTGACATACTTAAGTTCAATGGCAGACTGGCGTTGTTTCCTCAATGATTTTGGTGGCAGAGCAATGTCTCCAAATATTAAGGGAAATACTCTCACTTCTGCTGACTAACCACCAAATCATCCGTCTTTTTGAACATATAATAGCCGAAATGAAAACTGCGTTACATTAATGACCTTGAACCAACTGTTCCACTATTCAGTTCGTGTAGAGATGTAGAAATCCATGATAATTTTACGTGAAGAGAATAAGAAAAGCTCTATGATGGGATGGCAATGTTTTACTTTTTGTAGACCACTCTAAATTATCATTCTTTGTCTCGTCAGTTGAAAAAGCTTAAATGTTACTTAGCAATGGAGGTTTTTAACGAGAACATTAATTTATGCAACATAGTTTTGCTTAAGTTAGGTATGTTGTCTTTCCAACTAAGCCCTTTAATTGTTTTTTTTTCTACCTTATCCAACAATGTTTATTTACTATGATTAATGCATGCTCCAACACTCGCACAAAAGGGCAGTAAAGCATATCAGATCACTGTTTGTTGATCTTTTTTTCACTTTTGGGAAGCCTTTAGATCGCACAAAAGGGCAGTAAAGCACAATGTAGTTTCATCTCTTGACATTTGATCATGAGATTGTTGTTGTCCGTCTGGAAAGTTTGGTTTATTTTTATAATTTCACTGCTAATGCTATGGTATCATTCATCATTTTCTTCAATGCTCCCTTTCGCCTTGATTTGGTCGGTCTCTGTTAGACGTATCCCTCCTTAATTGAATTAAGGAAACTTAGAAAGTTTGGTGGATATATTAATCTATATTTATGTATGACATTGATTAAAGTTCTAATTCTTAAATATATATATATATATATATATGATGGATTTGTTATTCTATTATAAATAAATGATTCTGAAAAGACATACGAGTGATAAAAGTATAAAAGAGAGTTGAACAAAAGTTCATCTATACGACAGATTAAAAAGAAGATAGTTATGACATCTATTATAACAGTTTGTTGAGAGAATTTATAAATCATCCATATTAAATAAGTTATCTTTACGATTTTATTTGATGGTAGAAGATAAATTTACATTGCAATTCTATCATCTTGAGGAATTATATAATTATTAAGACCGTATCTATACATTATTGTATGGTATATAGTTTCTTTCCTTATTAACTTAAACAATTTGATAAAATGAGTTTTCAAAATTCATTTAAGATGAATTTATTTGAAAGACTTTAATAGAAAGGAGTGTTAATTCCTTTAATTTATAAAATTTATTAATAATTGTGTTTATAAAATTTATTTAAATTATTAATAATTAAAAAATTCTAAACAAATATAATCGTCATAAATTATTGAAAAATTCATTTAAGATGTCCCGGTGTGTAATTATTATTTACCAAACTCTTGGTAAACATATATCTCATATCTGTATAGTAATTAATGGATGGTTGGCTTCTGTTCTGGGACAATGTATATAAACTATACTAGGAAACATGACACCATTGGCTGCAGCTGCAAACTGGAGCCTTTAGATTATTAATTTAAGGATGGACGTATTTATGATCCATCTGTCAATATTGGCAAAGCCCAAGAGGACCGCATTATATGATTTGCCAGCGGAAGGCACCCACTGCATGAGTTGTCTGCCATCTCTTAAAGTCCTTTTCGAAGCTGAATATATAGTTTTGGAAAAACATTCACTATGTAATTTAAAAAATATAAGACTAGAGTACATTTCACGGCCAATGGTTTATTTAAAAATATATTTTTAATAAGATGAAATAATTACTACTATCCATACAAATATCTGAACGAAAGAGAAGAAAAAAATTAAAATGAAAATCCAAGAAGAAAGGCACGCGATGTGGTGGAGCGTGCAAGTAAGTGCAGGTGAAAATTGACGGGGCGGCTAGCCGGCTAGGTGATTGAAGAGAGAGAGAGTGCGAAAGAGACGGAGTCTGCGGCAGTATTTCTTAGAGAATAGTTTATTGCAATAACAATTTATTAAACACATCAACGCAACACGAAAAAAAAAATTAGAAAACCAACATAAATTCGAAAGATATAATATTTGTCTCACGTAACACCGTAGTGAGGTGAATGATGAGGGTGGTTGCGGAGATTGAAGAGAGGTCATTATGGTGAGCCACCGAGCTGAAAAGACAAACTTTTTAAAATGAGAAGATATGTATTAATGAATATTATCCAAACACAAGTCTTGTTTCCTTGAAAAGGGCTCAAAAAAGATTGGGGCTTTATATGTCGATGATATATACATGCACAAATCCAAGCTTTAGGAGTAAGAAGAACAAACCCCACCTGTTGTTATTTCTCTCCTTTTCACTTCATCAAATCCCGAAGGTGTATTTCTTTATTTCTCTTGGCTTTCGTTTTACTGGGGTTTTTTTTGTCTCTTTTGTTCCATCTAATATGTGTATCTTTCAGTACAGATGATGGACTATATTTCCTCCCTTTCTTTTTGGCTGTTTAGTATGGGTTTTGTTGGTTTTAGTCTATTAATAAAAGGTTTTGTTGTTTCTATAAGGTTCTAGGCTTTGAATATGCATCGGTTTAGAGACTGTGAGGGTGGGTTTCTGGGATGGAATTTCCATGCTTAGATGATTAATGTGTTTTGTTTTTTGTTTTTGGTTCAACATTCAGCTATTCCGCTGTATTTTTTGTTTTGTTTCGGGTTTTGCATGCATTGAAAAACTCTTGAATTCGAGCTTAAACAGAATTTATTTGAGCAAGAACCCATTCAAGTGTTCTTCCCCCACCCCCCATTATGTCATCTTTTATATATGTCTTTGTTGGGTATAAATGGTTGATATATCTTATATTTTTGTATCGAACAATTTGATGTTTATAATGTTAGGCACCAACTGCTGCTTTTTCACTTAGTTACTAGCTTTCAATAGTCACCTCATCCTTCTCCCACCAACTTTCTAGCATAACAGAGTAGAAATGTTCATTATTTGAAGTTGCTGTATTTTGATAAGTGTAAATGGAATGGTTTCTTTAATCAGTTTCATTATGATTCTCATATATAGTTTCTGTTCTGAGCGACGCATTATCATCTCCAATTGGAATTCATCAAAAACTTGTAGCCTAATTAATATATCAAATTACCAAATCGATGGTATGAGTTAATGCAAAGTGTTTGGAGTTAAAAACAATTTTGCTATTTATTTATATGGTAATTCAATTCTTGGAAGTAAGTCTCTCTTTTTCTTTTCTTTCTTTTTGGTGGCTTACTGAACCTGCAGGAAGAAACTCTTACTGAGCCTTCTTTTTTCACCACTTTATATTTGTAATCAAAGTTAGCTGTGAACCATCAAGTTGTTTTTATATCCGTTCCTTATTATAGGTAGAATTCTAATTAAGTCAGTTGAACAAATTTTCAAATATCTGATCGAAGAAGCCTTGTAGTTATTTACTTTTGTTGCTTCTGATTTACTTGTCGAACACTGACAGTGTGCGGTTTGTTGATAGGCCACTGGTTTGAGCAAGCTAAAAATCTTCAGAAAAGACTTCCTTTTAAAATTTTAAGATCCTTTTGAACCTCTGAAATTTCAAACAGTAGTTTAGGGAAATGCAAAACATGGATCGAAAGGATTCTGGTGTAAATGCACAATCAATGTGCACATATGTTGTCAGCAGCTCGTCTTTGGGCAACTCGACTGAATCTCAGGTCCTGCAATCTTCAATGTCTGAAAGTTTAAGCCTGAAGATGGGAGTTCTGCCTCAACACTTTCATAACACCAAACAGATGAGTTTTCAATTCCAGGACCAGGACTCATCATCAACTCAATCAACTGGTCAATCTTGCCCTGAAGCAGCTGGTGCTGGAGACAGCAATATTTATGGGCAAAGTTTAATTTTACCATCATCAGGTCTTTATATTTTCCCAGTATTTACACATTTTGATGATATCTAAGTTTGATGTGGTATAAAGTTGAAGTTTTTTCAATTTTTCATCCATGTGATTTTTTCTTCTCTCATTACCTGGCGAAGGGTATATCTAATTAGCTGTTCTCGCATGGGAAGTTTGTCGGAAGCCATGCTAATTTAGCCTCTTTAACAGGACCACAAAACTATGTCGTCCCTCCTGCACAAGTTGATTATAGCAAATCAATTGTACGTTACTACTTTTGTAGCTTGGCTGGTATGTAGATGTGTCAATGTCTGGTATATCTCATTCATTTATGTCAGGTTTCTTACTGCAGTCTCATATTCCTCTCCATTCTGCCAAACCATATTTTGTCAGTGTAGCAACGACTGCTTATGGATCGCAAGCTTTGGTAAGAGTTTTGTCTTGTTCAACACTTCAGTCTGGCATTTTATCAGTTCATAGAATAGGCAATGGTTGCTTTTAAAAGTTCTAGACCCCGTTTAACAACGATTTTGTTATGATCACTGTAACTGTAGTCTCCTCTTTGAGGAATCTAGGAAAGAAAAGTTGAAGGAACCTAGACTTTTGAAACCATATTAAAAGATCTAGATCCCTACTTATAAACGTAATCTTGATGCTGTAGAAGATTGGAAAGCACAAGTCAGGGTACAAGTAGTTTCTTTTGATAAAATGTAGATGCTATAGACCATTATTTTAATCCATTAGCTGATTTGCACCTTCCTGTGTTCATTCATTCTTTGTTTCACATAAAGAATCTGTTAGCCGGCCTGGTACAGGTCTAATTCTTTAATGTTCATTAAGCACATTCTCGGACTATTCCGTTGCACATTAATTTCTGTCGTTCTATTTCACACTTTGCATCTTCCTTTACTCTTATTCTTCTTTCCTTTTCTAATCAAATTGATTCTTTATCAGAAAAGCTTTTCTTCAATGATCTTATTTTATGAAGTGCTTTTACTATATGAAGCATGAAAGTTGCAATAGTAGGTGCATTAAGTGACATTTGTTATTGTCAACTGTCTTAAGTGGCAAAAAAATAATTAGTCATGAGGTTACTAGATCTTCTTTTATTTATTCTCTGTTTTCTGACATATTGATTCTGCATTAGATTTGGTATAGATTCCGATTTTTGTGTTGCTAAAACAAATGCCTTGAATATCTATTTAGGGCACACCCTTTGTTATTCATGATCAGACGAAAAATGTTTCTTATTTGTTATCCGTTTGTGCGATATTTGTCATTGCAGTCCCAGCAGATTCATGCTCATGCGATGGCAATGCTTCCTACTCGTGCTCCGCTGCCACTGGATCTTAAAGAAGATGAACCGATTTATGTTAATGCAAAGCAGTATCATGCTATTCTCAGGCGAAGACAATATCGTGCAAAGCTCGAGGCTCAGAACAAACTCACAAAAGTTCGAAAGGTAAGTATGTCTCTTTGAGGTTTTCCTTGTAGCTGGTTGATGCACAAGAACTGTATAAGAAGCTATTTTATAAATGTTTCGCAGCCGTACCTGCATGAGTCTCGTCATCTTCATGCGTTAAAACGAGCTAGAGGGAGCGGTGGGCAATTTCTCAAAACAAAGAAATTCCAACAATCCAAGAGCATTCCGACAAGCCACAGACCGGACATGTCCAGGTCACCTCAACTACATTTGTCTGCAAAACTCTCCAAAACAGAAGTTTATGAGCGGGCAAATTTCAAAGATGCTGCTTCGGCTACCTCGTGCTCTGATGTCACAAGTGGCTCCAACAGTGATGAAATGTTTCAGCAGCCAGATTTAAGGTTTTCTAGCTATCGTCCTGATCATATAGGTCATGCCGGCAATATCCACGGTGATGGGAACATCCATCATCTTTCTGGTCTCGGCTGATAGCCAAGATAGATTCTATTTTGAGCAGTCCGGCGCCGATGAAAAATACGGCTGCTTTGTTCCCATGGGAAGTCATCCTTGGCTCAGTTTAGTTTTACTTGTCCTGTCAGCACAGATTGTTAATAAACCGTGAACATTGTGGTCACGTTATTTTAACATAAATGCATGCCTTGCCATACATTTGAGCTTCAATTGCAAGTACTGTCAGTAACATTAACATTTCCAGTTTGATATGAAAATACGAATTAGAGAAGCTTCTCTGCCTGATTTCGAAGCAATGATTGTTTAGATTAATGCTGTAACTGGGCATCTTCAACTTCAACTCCAACTCTTATGGGTCCGAAGAACAAAGTGGAATCCACAAACTGATCGGTTATAGATAATCGAATTCGGTTCCCTTCTCACAAATATACTTGACCCGATTACGGAACCCAGTTCTACATCCGCTTTCTAACTCAGCCGAATCTACCCTTTAAGTCCGCCATCGAATTTGAAAATCCCCGCTCTCTCTGCTCTTCGGCCGCCAACAGCGAAAGAAAACACCTTCGCCATGAAAAAATCCTAGGGAATCTTCCTGGGAGCTTCTTCTTCAAGAATTGGGAAAATGAATAATTTAGAGGAAATCTTTTCGAACATTCCTTCGAGCATTAAAAACATTGATAAAATATTTTTTTTTTGTAAAATGTATTAGAAATTACTAATTCATAAAAACGATAATTATCTGAGATAAACCATTATACATCCTAAAATCTCAAAAATAATAATAATTTATTTACTATTTATGTTGTTTGATTGATATTTAAATTTCTAAAGTTTGATTTTTCTTTTATCATTATAAATTTTAGAAATAAAAGTTTATTTTTATTAAAAAGTTTTAGATATGTTAGAATTTTTAATAGTACTCTCTGATTTATGATTAACGACAGTTAAGATTGATCAATACCAATTAATATTCCTAATTAATGCTAAAATATTTTACCATACAAAAATATTCCATAAATCCAAAACTTTTAAATATGTAAACATTAAAATATTTAATGTTTTGTTTTTCTATTAATTTATGTTCATTATAAATGATAGTATTTATTTTAAAGATTCGTAATCATTTTACAATGAATGCTTAAATATTTTACGATAGTTGATGTTTTAACTTGAGACCTCTAATAATAATAATAATTTCTTTAATCATTGAAATCACTTAGTTTGTGTTATTTAATATTTTGTTAAAATATATAATTTCTATAATAATTTAAACATTTTACTAAAATTTATAACAATTGTAAACGGATCAAAGTTTATAATAACATTTCTTTAGAAATTATTATACATTCTTTAAAATGTTGATAAGATTGAGACCATATTTTTTAAAGAATACACAGTAGAATTTCACCTAAACCATTAATAAAGGGCAAACGCATCTATTAGCCCGCGGGGCAGTAATAGTCTGGTACAAAATGGATCAAATTAGTATTTTTCCCCATTAAATATATATTAAATTTCCTACTTAATTTTTTTTCCAATTTACTTTTAAATTAATATAGTCACTCGATTTATTCAAAATGAAAATACCAGTAAAAGCACAACACAATATATATTGACAAAATTAGATTAAAAATGATATTTTTAAAAATAAATTTAAAAGAATGTTGATTTAAACGGTAAAAGATAAATTAGAAAAATAATAGTTAATCCAACAACCAATTAATTTGATGGAGTGAGACATTAAATTTTTTAAATAAGATCAAAAGTTTTTTAGTGTTAAGAGAGAAAAAAAACATAATTAATCCCCATCTCTTACATGCCAGGAGAGCGCTGTCTCTGCTTCTTCGTGCACCAAATCAGCAATGGCCACCGGTGGATCCTGGTAGCTAATAAACATAGAATCGCTAGTCCAAGCCAGTCGTGCTATGCCATCAGCAACTCGATTCTTTTCTCTAGGAACATAAGCGAACCCCAGCTGCCAATTCTTCTTTGTGAAACTTCGAATGTGGAGGACCAGTGCGAAAGTAGGCTGGCACCTCGAAGTATCCTTGATCGCATCTATAGCATTTTTGCAGTCCGATTCAACACACACTGAATTCGAACCCATCCTCCAAGCAAACAATAACCCCTCATAGATTCCCCATAATTCGGCTTCGAACGACGAACATTTTCCTATCAATTTAGAGAAACCCCCCAACCAGCAGCCTTCATGATCTCGGATGATTCCCGCGCAAGAAGCGAATCCGTCCTCAAGTCTGCATGTTCCATCCGTGTTAAGTTTCACCACACCCGTCGGTGGACAGCTCCAGGGATTGGTCAGATCATTGATTATGTTACTTTGTCTTCGCTTTTCATTCAAGCTCGCCAAGGCGTTAATCCTTCCATCCTTCCATCTAGCACTTCTCTGCCACACTTTCCTCACCCACATAATCAGGATCAAACAACAACCGGTTCCAAATTAGAGCACCGAACATTAAATCCCACTCGCCCGGATCATTAGGAAAATAGGACGGCTGAGATATGTTTTTAATAATCCAATCCTGCAAAGATAAGCTATTAAATTCCTCCAATCTGCTCGGTTTAACCACTACCTGCCACACCGTTCTCGCTGCGATACAATCACGAACAACATGCAAACTAGTTTCATTCCCCGCCCCACAATAAGATCAAAAGTTAGAATCCCTCACAATTATAAATGAAATAAACTGAATTGAAATAATTATTCCATAATAAACTTCTACACAAATTTATTTAAGATGTAAAATAGAAAAAATACTGTACTTCAGAAGCTAAATTAAGAATAAAGGCATTAGTTAAATGCTCCAAATTTCCATGTCTATCCAAATCTAATTAGCTAAGTTAGGTATTGAGATAGACCCATCACAAGAAACGCTACTAACAGCTGTAGACCCATCACAAGAAACGCTACTAACAGCTGCTGGTTAAATTATAAACAAAAATAATAATAAAATAACTTGATGCTTTTGCAAGATTTGCAGTAAAATCAATAAAAAAGGAACCCCTAGATTCCATCCACATCAACTCCCCCATTATTCCAAACCCTGACAAGATACCACTCTAATTATTTTATTGTATCGAATGAGATATAAGAAATTTGGTGACAAATGGAAGGAAGGAAGGAAGAAAGAAAAAGTCAGATAAACACGACCCCATAAATTTCTTTAAGAAAATCCTTTAATAGTTGGATATTAATCCACGATTTCTTTGTGAAAGATGCTAATCCATGATTAGGCATGGTGGAAAAGAAATAAAAAGATTTATGTTGTTATTTCAGATTAAAAAGAAGTTGCACCCAGATTTACATTCACCAGCAGGCCAAGTGAGAAAGAAGAAAAAACATTAGAAGGCAAAATAAACGATTACATGGAGCTATCCTGGTTCTTAGCTGAGAGCCGTTTCAAGAACTCATAAGTAGTGATCATTGTTGTAGCAGACATGGACATTGACGCCCACCTCGGCCCTAGTCCTCTATAACAAGCCAACCATCCACCTTCTTTAATCAAATTCCGAACAGTTTGGCCAACTGTTGGTCCACGCCTCCCATTCTCTTCCCCATCCAGGACTTGCAGTCTAGTCTTGATGGTGTCCAGTGGCATTGTAATCAAAGCTGATACCCCTCCGGCCATGGCTGCACTTATTCCCTGAACAGCCATGACCGTCTTCGTATCCGGCCTGATCGTGTTACTATTATTACTCTCATCATCTTTCTTCCAAATGTAGCATCCAATGCCTCCCCAAACGAGCCTCTGAGCTACCGAATAAGATGCCCACCACACTGCATTCGATGGAGCATACGTTAAGATCGATATCCCAAAGCCTCTGTACAACCCCTTTGGACCATCCGTTCCAACTATTTTCCTAAACGCATCGATCCCATTTACATATCTACGAGGTGAACTGCAGCTCGGGTGGGTTCCTTGAACCATTAACCTCTGGCTTACAACATCGACCGGGGTCCACACAAGCTGTGCAGTCATTGCAGCGCTTAATCCGGCAGCAGCGTTAGCAATTGCCGCCGCGGTTGTTTCCGGAACACCCAACTTAACCGTGGCACTGGCTACATTACTTTTGGTAACCTCAAGAGCTGCCATGTAAAGAGCTCGAGCCGGGATTGTTCCCATTAAAGAAGTACCGAATCCGCGGTATAAAGCCCTCAAACCTTCGTGTTTAACAATGGAAAAGGCGGTTCGGATACCAGAAAGTTGAGATTGAACCACTTGTTGCCTCGTTTTAACCAAAACTATAGGGTAAAGGGTGACCGAAACACCTGAAAAGAGAGCTGCACCTAAGAAGAAAAACTTGGATTTATCGAGCATTTCCCAATCAATATCGGCCGGTATATTATTCTCTTGCGCCGATTCTTCCTCGGCCACCCTTATATTCATCTTTCCCAGTTTTAAAGATCGAACTCCCAAACCAACAATTTGACACCGAAGCCGTACACCCACCCCCAAAAAAAGAGCCAACACCACCGCCAGAGTCGATAATCACCGTTTCAAATGAGATTAAGGGCAAAACAAAAGCAAAGATGAAGGGACTTTTTTCCTCTTGTGGAACCAAATTCTGGATCGAACGTGAATCACAATAAACGGATCAATCATTTCTTACACACAAGTTTAAAAGAAATAAAAAAGATCTATCAAAGAATAATTACTTCGTTTACCGGAGATTCAACCATTGTAATCCCCGGTGACGGAACTTTTAACCGGTGAGAGAGCTTCTTGATATTGCAGAGGGATTTAGAGAAGAAGAAGAAAAGAGAAGTGGGTGACCGGAGATTAGAGTAGAAAAAGGGAAGAAAGAGAATAAGACGTACAGTTAAAGAAGGCGGAACGGACAAGTGTCGGTTATGGATTAGTATCTTTTAATTCTTATGCTTTTTGTTTATCCGAGAAGGTTATGATTGTCTACGATTGTTTTTATTGTATGAATTAGATTTAGAGCGTTTGGATTGCCGGTGACGCTGGGATTTTGATGATGTCAATCAAATTATAGTTTTGTTTATTTATGCAGTGTAAGCTGTGACGCAGAGAATTTAATCCGGTTGTTTTACGAAGGGATACAGTGTAACATGACGTGTAATCCATATCCATTGGATTTGTTATTTTGTTTGATGTATAAGTCTCCGTATACAGTTTAATATATGATTAATGAAAAATATTATTAAAATATTTTTTTAATATTTTTAGTAATAAATTATTTAAAATATTATTGTTTATTGGAAAAGTTAATTTTTTTATTTCAAAATCAATAGAAAAAATAATATTTTAAGTAGAACTCAATATTAATATTTTTAATAAAAAAATAATTTTTTAAATAATTTTTTATCAAAATATTTCTAATAATATCTTTCATTAATTGTATATCAAAGCTGCCACAAGATTGTCATATAATAAAAAAATCCAATGGGTATGGATTACACCGGTAATTCTACCTTACAATAACTTAATATATTATTAAAAAAATACTACTAAAAATATATTTTTTAATACATTACTTTTATACCGGGAGGGGCAATTGATAGACTGGCTATGCGACCGAACCGACCTATGAAAGGTCAAAAAAAGCCTAATGCATACGTGGAATCGTGGTCTTGCTCGAACTTCCAACGCGGGAACTAAATATAAATCTTAAACCCTTCCCTCAGTTCTTCCAATAAACCAAACCCCACCTAACTCACCATTTAACAATGGCTCATCATTGTGGCCCCGACCCTGAGACCGATCCAAACAACCGTCTTTATAACCCATACCAAGACCTAAGCCTTCGAGTTCCCATAAACTTGTACAAGCTCCCGACTTCCCAAGAGTTCCTCTTCGCCGAGGAATCCCTCCACTAACGCCGCTTTTGGGGAGAAAACCTTCCTTTTACGTCGACTCTGCTTATTTAGGCGGTTTGGTCTCCGACGCAGGCGTTGGATTCTTCTCGGCTCTGAGAAATTTCGAGCAGGGAGATACTTATAAGTTGAAAATCAACCGCATCTTAAACGGTGCCGGTCATACCGGTCGGTCGTGGGGCGAATAAGATCGGGGTAGTGGGCCTGGTTTACGCGGGCATGGAGAATGGAATTGTCACCGTGATTGATCGTGACAATATATGAAGTAGCATGGCGGCAGGACTCACTACCGATGCTGTTTGCTTATGGCGAGAGGGGTCAGGTCTGTTGCGGTTGCGGGTGCACTAGGTGGGCTGGTGGCAAGGGTGGTGGTCGCCGGGAAGCACGTGTTGAAGAGATACGTGCCCATTTAAGAGAAGGGGAAAATAGAAAAAGAAAAAAAATAACTTTTGCGCTTGTTAATTCTTTAAATTTACTTTTATGGTGGTTGCATGTAGCTGTAGGTTAACCTTAATGGGGGAAAATTGCTATTAACAATAGTTTCGGAGAAATCTAATTTATTTATTTTTGAACAATACAACTTATTTCATGAATAATAGAATGAATCAAAATTACAACGTATCAAATATGGATAGAAAATTAAAGAGAATAATCATCAAAATACTCACACAAAAATAAACTATTAAACCTAAAGATACGAAGAAAAAAAATATTCTATTCAAAAGGACTACCAACATCAAAATCCAATGACTTTTATAAAAATTATCTCCGTCAAATGTGACGTTTTACGAAGTGATAAAAGGGGTGGTGGGAGAACCAAATAACCTAGCAGACTACTTCATTGTACCGACAAACCAATAAAAAAAATATTGTGATGATTTTTGTACGAGTATCAAAATGACCACAAAAGTATGTGAAAAATGTATAAAAAATCATAAGGACTATGTTACAAGAGCAGGCAAAACAATGCATGCCACAAGAGTAGGAAAAATAATGTGTCACGATGACAAAGATTCTAATTAAAAATTAAATACTCAAAAAAAAAAGAAAATAAAAAAAATTAATAGTCTCTGACAATCGATAACCAATATTAAAATTGATGCTACCGGCGATTAAACAAAAATTAAAGAGAGAAAAAAAGAAATTAGTACAAAAATATTGAAAGAAAATTAGGTTGAAAGAGGGAGAGAGACTAGAGTTTTTATTTTTATTTTTACAATTTAATATTTTTTTAGAGTTTCAAAATTTTTGATTAAATCTAATTTATTTTTAATGTGTGAAGTTAATGTTGTGAATGACCCTTGTAAGTTGTAACCACCCCCTCTCAATTTAAAGGGCTTGCTGTGCTATATTAGGATTATTAGAGATTTCCAGCATTGTTATCTGTAATTTGTAATTTTTTGGTTTTGGCAGTTGCTGACCTATTTAAACGATGAAATGGTTGTATTCGTTATTTCAGGGAAATTGGAGTTCACACAAGAAATTTGTTAACCGAACCTACGTTGGTAATGCACAATATATAAATAAAAAGGAAATCCAGGGGTTGTTTATTTAAACAAGTTGGCATCTTCCCCATGAAGAGGGGCTTAAAGGCTTGCAACCATTGTCTCATGTATCGGGCCGAGTTGCTACGTCAGACGACTGATGTATCTTTGATGCAAAACCATCATATTCAGTGAACATTTCTTAACAGTAAAGCATAACAATAGCCAAACCAAAACTCATTCCAAGTATCTGCAAAAGCAAAACTCCAGCTCGCAGTTTAGTTCCCCAATTCTCAACCCCCTTATTCCCACAAAATTTTAATGTGGTTAAGCAAAATCTGAAAGAAATTGATCGCGAATACATGAAACGGTATTGCATTTCATCATGCAAATTGATCACAGAAAGAAAATGTGTCAAAAAAGCACCATTTGACTTAAAGCAACATCGACTCTGGATTCTCAATGTAGCCTTTGAAAGCTTTAAGCCATTCAGCACCAATTGCACCTAAAAGTACAGCACGTTGAGTTGATTGGATTGGAAAAGTTTGAGTCAGGTCAGTAATAAACTATTAGGATTCTAACCAAACTACTTACCATCAATAACTCGATGATCACAGCTTAGAGTTACAGACATGTACGAAGCGAAGTTGAATTGGTCAGGACCTGAGCCAGGGATAACCCTCTTCTCAGCTGCAAACCGAACAGTCCAGCGATTATGAAGAAGCAAAAATGAATATGACTTGAAATACGGAAAAATTAAGGACAACTCTTACCAGACCCAACAGCTAGAATTCCTGCCTGAGGAGGATTAATGATGGCACAGAATTGCTTAATACCAAAGGGCCCTCCCAAGTTTGACACTGTAAATGTACCACCCTGCAAAGAAAACCCAGCATGTGTATAATCCAGAAGATGATCATAGCATCAATTATTGTTTATTAACATAAAACCAATTTCTACCTCATAATCTTCTGGTTTTAAGCTGTTCTCTTTGGCTTTTTGGGCCACCTTCTTGACCTCCTCAGCAATTGAGGACAAACCTTTCTTATCAGTATCCTGCAATATGTACAACAAATTATGGTAATGCTAACTAGAAAATTATTACAGGAATGGAACAGCATGAAGTGCAAACAACTCACCCTGATAACAGGGACATAAAGTCCATTGTCCGTCTGCACAGCTACATTAATATTCACATTGTTATACCTGGCATGGAAGCAAAAGAAGCATGTCATAACAATATTTCACAATTATGCACCCAAGGCTTAAAAGTTTGTAAGTAATTTATACTTACTGACGAATATAGTCATCTGTCCATGAACTATTGCACTGAGGAACTTTTCGGAGAGCCAAAGCAGCAGCCTGTAATTGACAAGAGACTTTTACCTTCCAAATATTAAATCTGACATTTTTTTTTGCGGTATGCTAATGGAAGTTCAATAGGAAAAAGAAGAAAAAACACTAATTTTTTATTTGCAGAAATGCTATATTAGCGCATCTACATAAAACAGCAATTTCAGACCATGGCCGGACTAAATACTTCCAAAAAAATTTGATTTAAGAAAGAATTACATAATTTCAGGAGAAGGATTAAAATTTACAAGGATGAAAAGCAAGAAAACATCATGAGACACGAACTTGGCATAATATGTTTTCACTATGTACTCGGAAGCTTAATCAAGAAATGCCATGTTAGATCCACATTATATTGACAAAAAACTTTAGATCATAACAAAAGCTGATCAACTTGGTATAATCTCAAAGCTAAATAAATGCATAGAAGTTGTCTACCTTAATTACAAGATCATTCACAGATATTCGCTTTCCACCTGAAGCTTCCTGTAATGAGTTGAGTTGGCTCCGCAAACTGAATGTCATGAAACAATTTATCATTATCAAATCTAGCATCAATTTCCTTTTTCAAATATTGAAGCACTATTACTTACTCCATAAGTTTGTCAACACAAGTATCCACTGTTAAATAGTAATGTGGGATAGTCTGCTTCGAGAATAGTAGGCGTGATGCTGTGATCTGTCAAATTTTGTAAAACAAATTACTCACAAAGCACAATGGTTATGTAACAGACATCCAAAATGGGGAGAAAACAAAAGAAGCCGGCCAGAAGATATGGAGACCAACTTCTTTGCACTCTTATGAAAAGAGTGCAGAAATCTAAAAGGTAGGTAGAATTTGAAATTTCATTAGCTGCAATGGAATGCAGATCCTTTCAGAACTAGATGAAATGCTAAATTCTATTTGACAGCCTTGTACTCTCATGAAACTTACAAAAATAATATCCATGAGTAAAATACCTTTCTTATCTGAGAATGAGGGATGTCCACATAATCTAGAGATGCAAGTTTTGCATCCTTTATCTTAGGAGTCAGGACAGAAACTTCCTTTCCACGTGAAGCTACATGACAAGGAAAGCATTCCAGTAAGCAGAAGAAGTGGCAATAGAACATCAAAAGGAATAATATTGAAGAATCTCTGAAAGAAAAAAGGATTGTGGTGTGGGGAGACACATTCTTCACTATATAGGATTAATTATCAGCTGAGTGAAATAGCATCAGGCATCAAACAGAGTAGAAATTACCCAAGTAATCTTCAATATCAGCCTTTACAATGTGTCCATCGGGACCTGTTCCTTTGATGCTAGATAGTGGTACCTATATTTGCATCCAAGAAGAAAAAGAAAATAGTTAAAAAGATTTGGGATAGAATTGATTACGAGCTTAAGGTTGTATCTTAATACAGAACACTTATATGACTAACCTTGTGATCCTCAGCCAATTTTCGAGCAAGGGGACTTGCAAAAATACGATCTTCTGAAGCAGAGGAGGTAGGCTTGGGAGTCTTGGGCTCTGGTGAAGGAACTGGTTGCTCAACAGGCTTTTTTGGCGGTGGTGGAGGTGCTGCTGAGTCTTTTGCTGCGGGAGCCCCAGAACCTGATGCTGGAGGACTGTAGTCCTTGAACTTCGCAACATCCCCCTCCTCTTCAACAGTGATGGCAATTATCTACATAACCACACAAGAAAACAAAAAAACATTAGCTGCATAAATATTCAGATGAATTGTGCATTATTCAGAGAGCGAAAAAGCAATAGACGAAGATCTAAGAGGTGCAGAGCCAAGATGCATCTCCTCTATTTAGTCAAATCGAATCCAAAATTCACGAGAACTGAAGAAAGATAATCGTATACACAATAATTCTCAAAATCAATACCTCACCAACTTTGATCTCTTTTGACCCGTCTCCCTTTATAATCTTAGCAAGATAACCTTCTTCCATGCATTCCATCTCAACAGTTGCTTTATCCTTTCAAATAATAAATAAAGTTATAAACAAAATCCTATTTCTAATACAGAGAAAGCAAAAAAAAGATAACTTCCATCAGATGCTACAAGGTAGCCAACAAACAGGAGAATGCCTTACGGTTTCAACTTCACACAACACTTCTCCAGGAGTCACCTTATCACCCTCTTTCTTCAACCACCTTGCAATATTTCCCTGCATTTAGGAAACGGCATGCTAAGAAGGATATTGCCGATATTTTACAATATTTTAGAAAGACCCAGAATGATTCACACCTCCATCATCGTGGGTGAGAGTGAAGGCATTCCAATCTCTTGGTGAGGAGGAAGGCCTGAAAGCAACTTAAGAATTTTAGTAATATTTAGTAGGTCATGCAATAACAAAATGGAACATTTAACAAACAAGTAACACCATATGGCTACCATTAATGCAGCAGGGTTCAACGTAGTAAACCTTCAATCATCATTACAACTGCTACGTGGCCAACCATAAATATACTAACCTCTAGACTGGCAAAAAAACACTGGAAAAACCATTCATGCTAAATAAATTCAACATTACCTAAGCAAGAGCACTGGAAAAACAAAAATAAAAACAACAAAACATATAGCACTGCCTTGCAAAATAGAGATGAATAATAAACTGTAGTTATTGTGTCACAAATCTTAAAAGCAGATAAATCACATTTCACAGCTTGGATACCAGATAAACATGTTTTATAATACAAAATACTATTACCCAACAGGTAAATTCCTTTTATCTGGAGCTCTTTTCAGAAGGGTACTGAACAAGAGATGGTAAGAATGAATGAAAAAAATCTCACTGATAATTCTGGTCTCAACATAGAAGTTTCCACTGAAAGCGCATCAATAGAGTCATAGTTTGGAATTCAAAACGACCCTTGCGGTTTCATTAGTTAAAACACATTCTTGTCGTAGTCACAAGTGCAAAACTTTTTACCATTTGACAAGTAACGGAACCCTAAGAGAACAATACATGATAAGCAATAACCCATACCTGCATCAGATGAAAATCCTCTCCTTGAAAGCACCTGCAAACTGATAACGGATACAGGGAAGGAGTTTAAGTTCTTGAAATGATTAGGAAAACATTAATAGGAAGCCTCCAATGAAATACTGAAAAGAATACCATAGAAGTTCTCTGCTATATACCACACCACCCATTGGAATTCCCAATCTCATTGTTTTCCTAGAAAGATTGTTCGTAGATAAACCAAATGATACCTGCAGATAAGATGTTAAACAGACAGTTAGCCAATTGAATCTTAACTTCAATTAAGAAAATCATGCACAATGGGAAATCAGCAGAAGAAAGAAAAATAATAAAAATGCAAGACTGCAAATTTATTACTCCACCAATGGGTAATAGAAAGATGAACTTACAGGGTTACGGGCAACAAACTTGGATACAATCTCTCTTTCTGCAGGTGCACCAACTGGGCAGACCTTTGCTACATCTGAATAATAACCAACTTCACTTAACATAACATAAACAAAACATCCACTCTGTTATGCTTCTAAAACCAGAAAAGAACCTATAGATTGTAATTATAATATCTTAGTAAAAAGCTAGCCGGGAGGCTTTGGAGGCACTTTTTGCACGTCAATATAGTAGACTAAACAAAAATCCTAAGAACAGCAGTTATGCTTAAGGATTGTGGGAAACGAGGTATCAGAAAACAGAACATTCTTTATCTCATAGCATCTTTATAAGTACCTTCTCTTTTGCAAGCAGAGGATTGTGCTCCATTGGAAAACCAACGAACCAAAACGGCGTGATCGTGCCGCGTTAATTTGGGAACATTTCTTAACTGTAATAGCTAAAATTCTAAAGTTAAATTCAACAAATTAAATAATTAAACGATATAACAGAGACAAATCATTTCAACTATGATCAATAAAATTATATATTCAAGATGAATCAGCGATTAAATTCATATATTTCAACCCAAAACTGATGTAAGCATTAAAACAAAGAAACGAATCGAGTCAAGAGAACTGAGAAAATTCGAGCGTTACCTTTCTAGAGTGGTTGATGATGTGAGATGCATAAGCCATGATTCTCCAGGCTCCCAATCAAACTACTAAAAAAAAGTGGAATAAATATGTGAAGCTTAGGTTTAAGACCGTTCGGGAATAAAGATCAAACAAAGTAGATCTTACCTACTTGTCTAGTTTTTTTTTTTTTTAAAGAATAACCTAAAAAAGGAAAATAAAAGAGAGACGGAAGGGGAAACGATCGCTGCCTTTACTTTAAAAAAGAAAATAAATATTTTTAAAAGTCACATATTTATATTAATAATATATTTTTATATAAAGTAAATATAAATAAAATTTTAGGATAAACATAAATAATAAAATTAATAATTAATTGAAAAAAATCTGAATTTTAAGATAAACATATGATCACTTTAAGCAGGGCATACATCTATTATTATCGAAGATAAACATAAATAATAAAATTAATAATTAATTGAAAAAAATCTGAATTTTAAGATAAATATATGATCACTTTAAGCAGGGCATATATCTATTATTATCGATGATATAGTTATTGATAGTTAATTCAAAATTATCATATTACTTATTTTATTTATATGATTCATTTTTCAACTATCTAGTCTATTTATATAATAATAAAAGTATTAGATAATTTGAACTCAACAATCATCATTTTATCCTTTATTTGTCAAGTAAGTAAGCAAGAAAAAGTAAATATAAATCATACGACAGTCTTAGCATGAATAATATTTTTATTCAATAAAAATAATGATTTAATTAAAATAATAATATATAGAAATATTATTATAATTATTTTTTAATATATAAGATAAAATTATTTTTTAGGTCGGATTTAATTGAATATTTTTACCGTAAATCCAAATTTGACTGACCCAAACATCACCTTTAAAAGATCGACCCGACCCGAATCGACCCAAACTGAATTAAAAAAAATCTAACTCAATCGGATCGGGTCGAACCCGTCGAGTTCAGATCTCATGTTTATCCCTACCCTACCTATGATACAGATTAGCATAATTATACTTTCAAAGGCATATCTTGCTCTCACCCCATTGTTTCGGCTTTTGGTCCTCGCAGACCCTGTTTCCGGCCATTACGGGTTATACCTGGTAGGGGATAAGAATGAGTTCCAAGTGTTCTGTAACTCTGCTGTTTGCAGATGTTCACGAGTTTACAGTATTTGCAAGTGTATACTGAAAAATGGTGGGCACAACAACGATGCTAAGAATTATTTTATTCATTTTCTCCTAGTGAAAAAAATTGTGGATTATTTAAAGTTTGTTCCTAATTTATGTATAGGTTAATTAAAAATTAATACAACATTTGATTTTAAATTTAATATATTTTATTTATAGATCAAAGTGAAAAAATCACGAACAAAATATTTTTTATTGATTAAAACAAATTATTCAAAATGCTAAAAGCGAAATACACATTTTTTAATTATAAAAAATTAATATTTAGGTAATATTATTATTTAGAAGGATACTGATTAACCATTTCATTATTTGTATTAACTATTAACCCTTTTAAAAAACCCAAAAAATCATTAAAAAAGGGGGGGGGGCAGCAGCTACGTAACGAACATTTGTTTCTTCTTGGTGTTCTAGGGTTTATAGCTTGGGAGAGACACACAAAGCGAGAAGGGGTAGGATGGGGAACCAGAAACAAAAATGGACGGAGGAGGAAGAGGAGGCTCTTCTGGCAGGAATCACCAAACACGGTCCTGGAAAGTGGAAGAATATCCTTAAAGATCCCGAATTTTCCCCTTTCCTCACTCACCGCTCCAACATTGACCTCAAGGTTCTTCCTCTTTTCCTCGCCTGTCTTGAGTCGATTTTTGGATTTGAAGACGTTTTAGTTTTTTATATCTGCTCTGTTTTGTTGCTTGGTTATAGGGATTATTTTGTTAGAAGTAGTTTTTTTAATTGTTTTACTTGAGACGATACTTGACATCAAGAAACCCTGGTTGTGAGTTTGACGTTATATTAGTTGAATGGTGATAGGTTAAGTTAGAAGAAGTTTTGGAATATTTGTACAATGCACGTGCTGAAAGCTTGAACTATTAATCATTTAACCCTATTTCATATTCATGTTAAGTGATATTGCATAATGAAAGTTTTTCTCTTCATGATATCAAATATTTAAGATTGCTATAGTTTTGGAAGTACTTAAGAATTTGTTGTGGATTTATTGCAGTGATAGGTGATAAAAGGTTTAATGGACCATGGTCATTAAGAAACCTATATTTTCATGGCTGTTATAACTCACAACTAAAGAGAAAAATGTTTATCTTCTTCTAGTTATCTATATCCTTAAGATTGATGCTTGGTTTTGGTGAATATCAATTTCTTCCTGTTCTGTTGTGGTCAAACAATACAGTTTTCTCATTTCTGCACTCGTTTGCAGGATAAATGGCGGAATTTGAGTGTAAGTACTAATACTCAAACCGCCAGAGACAAATCAAGAGCACCCAAAGTAAAAGCCATTGTTGATTCCCTCCCCAACACACCCAATTCTTTTGCTCCAGCTGCTTCACGTGCTCTCAGTGTGACTACCGATGCTGGTGTGGGTGATTCTTCAAATAACAGCTTAGATGGGAAGAATGCTCCTAGGTTTGTATTCTCATATTTATGTTGCGATAAGTGGAATAAAACAGATGACATCATGAAAGTTTTTTTATATGTAATAAGGAATTTTGTCTGAATTTCGTTTTCCATGGACAATAAGAAATATGATATATGTATGAAGGGTTGTTTTTTTTTTTATTTCTGATTATGGTTTGCATTTCATTTCGTAATTTTCTTTTCTATCAATAATATATATTTTTTCTTTTCAGAAAGTTTGAATATCAAGTATTGGTAAGTTAAAGTTGAATTTCTATTTTTGATTTCATAGTTTGTGTGGTTTCCGAATCAATGCTGCACTGCTTTGCAAGTTTACTGGAACACCATTTTATATGATTACTATAGTCTAATCCATTTATTTATTTTAGATGCAGAGAGCTCATGTTGCTTTGTGTTAAAGTTGCTTGATAAATACGTTATGTTCCCTTCTTCACTAGTTACTTGATGCTATTTCTCTTTTTTAACCAGGTATAACACAATGATTTTTGAAGCCCTTTCAACAATTAAAGACACAAATGGATCTGATATAAGTGCAATTGTAAGCTACATTGAGGTGAGATGGAATTTGTTTATTCTTTTTGAAACTGTAATATCTATGTTTTATCCTTAAAATTTTGAAACTGATATATGTTTTATCCTGGGGTGCCTTTTCTCTTCCTTTTGTGTGTTTGAATTGATCTAGTCTTTGCTTTCTGTTTATCTATGCATGTTTGGAAATATGGATATTAACTGTGTGGATTACATGCTGCAGCAAAGGCACGAGGTTCCGCCAAATTTTAGGAGGTTACTAGGTTCAAGGCTGAGAAGACTTGTTTCTCAAGGCAAACTGGAAAAGGTAATTGTGATTCTAAAATGAGTAATATACCTTTGGCTGCCTTATATGTGTGTGTGTGTGTGTGGTCATCTTGAGTGTGTTAAACATGATGAAAAATTCCTTTCAACAGCTGCCGTTTTCCCATGCTAATCTAAACTTCAAAGATTGCAGGAAATGGAACAGAACATAGTTAAGTTGTTCAAGTTTTTAATTCTTTTCTGCACAATCACATTAGTTGAACTGCATAAGGGTCTCTAGATTGACGTCCAGAATTGCATTCTCCAATCTCTCTATGAAGAAGACTTTTGACTCCATTCTTGAAGACCTACCGCATATGCATTTAAAGATGACTATTAGCAAATCAATTCTGGGGATGTCATGCTAGCAAATAATTAGTTTATATGCATGAATTTTTTTTTTGATAGGAATATATGCATGAATTTTTGATGTTGTATTACATTATAGACTGATTTAATGGAAATTTTGATTTTATGGTGGATGTTTTTAAAGCTTGCATATTCTTACTCATGTCTGAACATCCAATGCAGGTACAAAATTGTTACAAGATCAAAGAACATACCTTGATAGGAACAGAAATGCCTACCCCTAAACAAAAAGATATACGTTTACGGCAGAATGTTGGTGCAGTGAGTTCTGGTGAAACGGTAGAAGAAGCAGCAATTACAGCTGCCTATAAAGTTGTGGAAGCTGAAAATAAATCATTTTTAGCCGCTGAGGCTGTGAAGGAGGCAGAAAGAGTCTCCAAAATGGCAGAGGATACGGATTCTATGCTTCAGCTAGTGAAAGAAATCTATGAACAATGTATGAGAAGCTGCACCTTCTTACTATTTCGTGGGCGTATGGTTTTCCGCCTCATACCCTGGTACCTAATTATAAATTATTTTCTCATGTTCTTGCAGGTTCGCGAGGCGAAACTGTTCTTTTGGCTTGAGTCTTAGCTTCCTAGGATGTAAGTTGTCTTTCTTTCATTTTATAATTTTGGTATCTTTGTATGTATGTGAATTATGAATCCATTGATCTTGTTGAATGAATCAATGTATTTGTGACCATTCAAGATCCATGTAGTTAGTATGTTACAGGTTTTATCGTACAATTAGCCCGCTAAACCAGTTTTGACTTTTGGAAGCAACATTTATTTTAGGGGAATGAATGTACATTTTAGAATCATAATAATGAATATACTCTTTTAGCCTTATCCCATGACATTGGCAATGAACCTACATTTCAATGGATACTAGGGATGGACCTATGATATCTAGATTGGGATGGAACGTCAGGTATGCACATGTGTATGGTACGAGTTCATTTTTTAAATATTTAAGAGATCATATTTCACTAGGTGAATTATGTGTTACCTATTAACAATTTTAATCACGATTAAAAGTTCAATTATTTATATCTGTTTGTAGGGATAAGTAATTTTAGTCGTAGAATTTGGTAATTTTTTTCAATTTGGTCTTTGAATTTTTGGGTTACTTTGAGAGTGTGCTTGATAAAATATCAATGTCTCATCATCACAAGGACTAAAAATGCCAAAAAAAAAATCAAGCTGAGGGGCTATTGGGGACAATAAAAAAGTTTCAAGATCTAAAATTGTTTTATCCCCTTCTTTTAGGAATTTTTAATGACGTATTAACACAAGAATTGTTATTAATTTGCAGACATACACTAATAGTATATCAAATAAAA